AACAAACATATAGAAACCACGTTTGACTCCGTTCTATTGATTCCATTCCAGCCAAATGTTTGACTCCGTCCTCCTATAGCTCCTCCCACCAGCCTCCACATATATATATATACACACACACACACTTTCACAATCATAATTTGCTGCTGCTACTCTGTTCTTTATTTTTCTATTCTCATTTATCTATCCTGTTGCCTAGTCACTTTACCCTTTCTTTCATGTCCATACAGTATCTACCTCAAATACCTCGTACCTCTGCACATTGATCTGGTACTGGTACTTCCTGTATAAAGATTGTTTAAAATTTTAGTCATTTTAGCAGACGCTCTTATCCAGAGCGACGTACAGTTAGTGAGTGCATACATTTTTTTTTTCATACTGGCCCACCGTGGGAAACGAACCCACAACCCATGCTCTACCAACTGAGCTACACGGGGACTTAACATTGTGTATTTCATTCCTCTTGTGTTAATATGTGTATTTGTATAATTTAAAAAAAAACTTGTATGCAAGCATTTCATGGTAAAGTCTACACCAGTTGTATTCAACAAGCTCTTGTAGTTTCACGTCAGAATTAGACGTTCATCCATGTTTCTCAAACGTCAAATTTCAAAGTGTTTAAGGTAAAGTTTAGGCACTAACTCTGAATTTTTCAGGTTAGGGTTAAGTTTAGGCATTAACTCTGAATTTTTCAGTTTAGGGTTAAGTTTAGGCATTAACTCCAAAATCTTAAGGTTAGGCAACTCCGAATGGTTAAGGTAAGGGTTAAGGCTTGGGATAGACTTAAAACTAAAATGTGTTTGCGTGTACACGCTGATATGTGTTTTTTCTGAGCTCTTGAGAATTTCTGACTGTTCCCTCAGTGTTGTTTGCAGTGCTGTTTCACCATGTTCCCATGAGGCTGTGTTAGGTAGAGTAGAGGGGATTTAGACAACACTGATGTCCTGAAGTTACATCACATTCTCAAACAGCCTGATTACTACCGTATGGACTGAAGTTACATCGTCCCAGAAGGTACTCCTGTGTGTGTGTGTGTGTGTGTGTGTGTGTGTGTGTGTGTGTGTGTGTGTGTGTGTGTGTGTGTGTGTGAGTGTGTGTGTGTGTGTGTGTGTATGTGTGTGTGTGTGCATGTGTGCGTGTTGTGTGTGTGGTTGTGGGGATGGGGGTGTGGGAGTGGGTTGTGGGTGTGTGTGTGTCTGTATGTGTGAACAAACATGTTTGCAAGCCCATCTCATGACAGTGTAGTGAAGTAGAGTAGAGGGGATTTAGACAATACTGATGTCCTGAAGTTTCATCACATTCTCAAACAGCCTGATTACTACCGTATGGACTGAAGTTACATCGTCCCAGAATGTCAGGTCCTCTGCCTGTACTCCTGTGTGTATGTGTGTGTGTGTGTGTGTGTGTGTGTGTGTGTGTGTGTGTGTGTGTGTGTGTGTGTGTGTGTGTGTGTGTGTGTGTGTGTGTGTGTGTGTTGTGTGTGTGTGTGCATGTGTGCGTGTTGTGTGGGAGTGGGTTGTGGGTGTGTGTGTGTCTGTGTGTGTGGGAGTGAGGGTGTGGGGGTCTATGTGTGTCTGTATGTGTGAACAAACATGTTTGCAAGCCCATCTCATGACAGTGTAGTGAAGTAGAGTAGAGGGGATTTAGACAATACTGATGTCCTGAAGTTTCATCACATTCTCAAACAGCCTGATTACTACCGTATGGACTGAAGTTACATCGTCCCAGAATGTCAGGTCCTCTGCCTGTACTCGTGTGTGTGTGTGTGTGTGTGTGTGTGAGTCTGTGTGTGTATGTGTGTGTGTGTGTGTGTGTGATCAAACCTGTTTGCAAACCCATCTCATGACAGTATAGTGAAATGTTAGGACATCTCTCTCTCTCTCTCTCTCTCCGTCTCTCTCTCTCTCCCTCTGTTTCTCTCTCTCTCTCTCTCTCTCTCTCTCTCTCTCTCTCTCTCTCTCTCTCTCTCTCTCTCTCTCTCTCTCTCTCTCTCTCTCTCTCTCTCTCTCTCTCTCTTTTAATCTTGACCCTAAATGTCTCTCCCACCAAGTAACCCTGACTCATGTAACTCCTAACTACATAATACCTCTTCCTCAGTTCCTGTCTTAGTTAACTAGCTAAGCATTAATCCAATCTGTGTGAGTGTAAGAGAAGACTTATGGAGACATCACGACTGCCCTATCCCTGCTCTATCCCATGAACTCCCTTACTGCCTCAGGAAGCTGGCCTTGATCTCTGACACAACTCCTTAAGTTGACAGGAACTACGTTTGTGTGTGTGTTTGTGTGTGTGTGTGTGCGTGTGCACAGATGTATAGAGATGAGCATTGACCTGTGTGGGGAGGAGACAGTAATCGTTCTGTCTGACTGGAAGTCACATTATACATATAGGACACTCAATCACACGGGGTGCCAGTATGAAAAATGTATGCACTCACTAATTGTAAGTCGCTCTGGATAAGAGCGTCTGCTAAATTACTAAAATGCCAAATAATGCCTCCATAATAATTAATAATTAATGATGCCATCTAATGTCAACTGGGTCCGTTTCCATAACTCCATATTGATAGATTACATACATGATGTCTGACAGTGAAAGCGTTTAGTTATGATAACATCAAACATTCAAAACATTCAAAACATTCCAGCTATGAGTCACTCTTACTGAGTCACAGCATCCATCGTGATTTCAGTTTGCCGCATGACTTGTGGGTTTCCTGTAAGGAACTGAGGGGATATGTGGTAGTACACTGCCCTCCTGTGGTCACTGGGTGTAAATGTATTTGTGCTGATTTAATTATCAGGGAATGTAGTCAAATTGTCTACTCTAGCCCAAGCCTCTACTCGAGTACCCCCAGCCAGACCATGTCGTTAATGTATTCCAGAACTAGCACAGCTGATTCAAATGGTCACCTAATCATCAGAACCCTCATTAGTTAAATCAGCTGTGTTAGTTCTGGAATTCATCAAATACGTGGACAGGCTGTGGGTACTCCAGGAGAGGTTTGGGAAACACTGCTCTAGGCGAAGACACAGACAGTTTGACCACCTTATAAAAAACAATATCTTATCAAACTATTTCAAAGGGCAGAGTTTTCTAAACATTTCTAATCTTCTAATTTTATAGTCCAGCTTCTGTTCAGCACTCTGTACCTTGGAGCACTTTGTTAAAGTGCTTGTCATCCCCATCTCTACCCTTGCTGATGTTGGTGTGACATGGTTGTCAAGTGGCGACTGTACCTGGGCCAGTGGCAGGAAGTGGTTTGCTGCTGTGTCTAAGTGGATTATGGGTCAGTGACGGATCGCTCGCTCTCAGATTAGTCTGTCTGTCCCATGGTTGGTGAGGCAGGGAGAGATTTGTCGGAATAAGGATAAAACATTAGGGAGGGAGGGAGAATAGTAGGCTACAGGTGAGTGAGTGAGGGAATGAACGAGTCAGTCTATCACTATGCTGCCCTCCACTGGAGAGAAGAGGCACTGCTACTAATCTGCCCTGTGAAGGCACATTTACATTTACATTTTAGTCATTTAGCAGACGCTCTTATCCAGAGCGATTTACAGTTAGTGAGTGCATACATTTTTCATACTGCCCCCCCCGTGGGAATCGAACCCACAACCCTGGCGTTGCAAGCGCCATACTCTACCAACTGAGCTACAGGAGGCACAAAACTGTTCTGGTGTATATTTATCAAGGAAATACTGTGTCTAATCACAGATTAATCCTAAATTACCTTTACAGCTAGTGAGATGATAGCACATTATATCACAGTGTAAAGTGTAACACCAGGGTCCCTACTGCAGACATAAAGAGCAGTCGTAACTTTGACCTTTTTGTCAGTTTAGTCTCTGAGAGGGTAAAGCACAGGAAGGAAAGAGTGGGAGATAAAAAGAGAGCGAGGCAGGAAGATAGCGGTTTTAGTATTTCGACTAAATTCTCATTCTCCCCGCTCTCTGTGACACAAACTCACACTTGAATGCAAATACGTAATGGAACAAGTATTTACAAAAATCCTATTTTAAATGTACAGGATAAAAACAAACAATTATGGCTGAATCTAGGCATCATATATGTTATTAGATTCTATAATAATTTAGTCACAGCGATCACAAGCCTCTGAAGTGCAATGATAAAATACAGTACCATGTAAACATAAGCCATTAATTTATCCCTGTACATTGAAACCAGCCACTCCACCGTCCGATAGTGTGACAATCTACCTGGATCTGAGCAATACCAATGGCACGATTTAATATACTAGGCTAAATGCCTAACTGTGGCTCTTTTTAATAAAACAATTAAATAGAAAATGTCTCAGTAAATCGTTAAAGTAGATTGATCAGACACTTATGTATAGGGATAAAACAGACACTATTGAATAACAGGTTATGAGTACAATACAACATTCTCAGTATTCCACACAATCTGGGCAATCAGGTAGTGACTCCTAAAGTAGTCTGTACACCACAGGAGGTTGGTGGCACCTTAATTGGGGAGGACGGGCTCATGGTAATGGCTGGAGCGGAATCAGTGGAATGGTATCAAATAGATCAACAGGTCCCGTGTAGCTCAGTTGGTAGAGCATGGCGTTTGCAACGCCAGGGTTGTGGGTTCGATTCCCACAGGGGGCCAGTATGAAAAATGTATGCACTCACCAACTGTAAGTCGCTCTGGATAAGAGCGTCTGCTAAATGACTAAAATGTAATGCTCTGTTCCGGCCATTATTGTGAGCCGTTCTCCCCTCAGCAGCCTCCACTGCTGTACACCATGGCTGTATAAAAGAGCTGAGGTGAGATTGACTGGTTGTGGATACGTTATTGATCTGTTCGGTAAGTGTCCTTGACTCCTGTCTGTGATGTGTTGTCGTAATGAGTTATTGATGCGTTGTGAATAGGTTGTCAGAAGGTTATAGATGGGTTGTGAATATGTTGCTCGTACAGTGGGTTGTTGATGGATTGTGAATATGTTGCTGGTAGGTAGGTTGTTGTAATGTTATTGCAGGTCAGGGGCCTTTGATGTGGCCCATAGCTGGGTTGACAAAGGAGAAGTTGTTGAACATGGTTTGGTCCACACTGTTCATGAGGGTACGATCTGCACACGACAACCAGGGTTTCTCATTGATAAACTCCTTGTCAAAGTTACTGACATCACTGGGGGATTTCTGCATGGACAGGAGAGAGGGAATAGGTTACCTACGCACACACACGTAAACAAACAAACACACTCGCAGTCTGAGGATGTACTTACCACAGTTGGCCTGAAGGGCGGCGCCACTTCTCGTTTCTCCAGGGCGTTCCAGTCTGTGTCTTTGAAGAAGGAGTGTTGACGGATGTTCCCCTTCACACCCAGCCTCCTCTCCGGCTCCCTCACAAACAGCTATAAAAACAAACACACCATATATACACACACATCAGGACAGAGGACGCCAAGGTCACAGCCTCCACTCCAATGGGAAAAATACATACGAGCACACTCATGAAAGGTAACCAATCACACGCAGACACACACAGTACAGGTCACATCCATCCCAACCGTCAATCATTCATGTTGATGTATGTAATCTGGTGCATAGTGGACAATGTTGTCATAGTTAATTTGTCATGGCATTGCAGTGAGTGGACCAAGTTGTTACATTGAGTGAGACCTTGATGAGGATGTCTTGTGCATCCTTGGTCAGCCAGCGGGGGTAACAGGGGTCATCTGTCCTGATGGACTGGAACAGTTCCTCCTCATCGTGACCATGGAATGGAGACTGGCCAATCAGCATCTCATACAGCAAGACCCCAAACGACCACCAGTCCACTGAGCTGCCGTACTTCTGCCCCAGCAGAATCTAAAAAACCATGTCCATACAGTTCAACATGACATCTCTTCATCATCACCATCATCGCCATCACTTCATGATGTTGATCTAAAACCAGTACATTTAGACGGAGCTGGTCTGTAATTGATTAATGATACAAATCAATGAGATCAGAATTGAGAGTGAGAAACGTTATGGTTCCCCAAGGGAACATTTCCATTGCTTATTTAATACACCTTTTTAACGGTTGCAATGCTGATAGTAAGAGTGTAGATTCCTATGGTGATGGTGAACATGTAGTCACCTCTGGGGCGATGTAATCAGGTGTTCCACAGAAGGTGCAGGTCTGTGTTTCTCCCTCCATGTTCTCCTTACACATCCCAAAGTCTGCTATCTTTATATGGCCTTCTGAGTCTAACAACACGTTGTCCAGCTTCAGATCCCTATAGACAATGCCTTTGGAGTGGAGGAACTGGAGCCCACAGATAATCTCAGCAGCATAGAACCTACAGCCAGATGGAGGAGAGAGGGATGGGTGGAGAGAATGGAGGAAGTGTGTGTGTGTGTGTGTGTCTGGTAGACATAGCCTGATTGTGTGTACGGGTCAACTTACGTAGATCTGTGCACGTCAAACTTGTGACAGTTCTGGATGTGGAACATGAGGTCACCTCCGTTCAGATACTCCATCACAAAGAACAGGTTATCCTGTCAAATACACAACACAGTCATCTCAACAAAACCTGTGGTGGTGTGTGGGTGTGTGTGTTGAGTTCATGTGTGTGTGTTACCGTGGTCTGGAAGGTGCAGTGGAGGTGTGTGAGGAATGGGTGTTCCCAGGCCAGGGAGAGTACTCTCCTCTCCACCATGGTACACTCCACATCATCATCCATCAGAACCACGTCCTTCTTCAGAGCCTTCACCGCAAAGAACTCTCTACTGCTCTTCAGCTCGGCCAGAAACACCTAGGAACACACACAGATGATACGTTATGTAGGAAATCACTGTCTTCGGCTATTCAGGCTTGTCAAATTGAGGTGAAGGATCCGTCAGGCAACTTCTAAGTACAATCAAGAAGTCTCTTTAGTACACTGGATCCAGGAACACAGAGCATGGCTAGAACATGTTCAAAGACCAGGCAACACAAGTCACACGTTTATATATTATACTAAATTGATGGTTTATATTTAGGATAATGTTTTAAAGCTTTGCCATTCTATTATGTTTGTTCAAATCGTCTTAATGTATTATTTTATCTCCTTGACATATTATGAAAATTCCATAAAATCCAGAAAGTTTCCATAATTCCGGAAGTTTCCTGGTAAGCTTAGAAAGTTACTGGTAATATACCGTACCTTTGCAACCCTAACTATGACTAACATTATTGGTAACACACAGTGTCCGATACACTCCCCTATTGACGTCCATTCTTGCAAAGTTGTTGTTCTGGAACATTCTGACCAACATGTTTACAAGTCCAAACATAATCATCATCATGACACCAACATTATATTTGTATTAAGATGATCTTACTCCTCATGAGTAGGCTCTCTTCCTTATATCACAATACACTCACACAAGCAGGGCCAAGATGCCAAGCAGGCTCTCTCCCCCTGCCAGAAACTTCTGCTTAGGTCATGCTGACCCAGGCTCACAGGCTTGAGTATAATAACAGGATATACACTGAGTGTACAAAACATTAAGAGTACCTTCCTAATATTGAGTTGAGCCTCAATTTGTCAGGACATGGACTCTACAAGGTGTCAAAAGCGTTCCACTGGAATGCTGGCCCATGTTGACTCCAATGCATCCCACAGTTGTGTCAAGTTGGTTGGATGTCCTTTGGATGGTGGACCATTCTTGATACACATGGGAAACTGTTGAGTGTGAAAACCCAGCAACGTTGCAGTTCTTGACACACTCAACCTGGTGCGCCTGACACCATACCCTATTCAAAGGCACTTCAATCTTAAAGGCTTAAAAATCCTTCTTTAACCTGTCTTCTCTCCTTCAACAGGTGACATCAGTAAGGGATAATAGCTTTCACCTGGTAAGTCTATGTCATGGAAAGAGCAGGTGTTCCTAATGTTTTGTACACTCAGTGTACGTTTGTTCACAATGCAATCCCTATAAATAACAAAGTACACTTTCATCTGCACGGTTTCCATCAGTTAGAGTAAGACATACAGTTGAAGTCGGAAGTTTACAACCACTCCACAAATTTCTTGTTAACAAACTATTGTTTTGGCAAGTCGGTTAGGACATCTACTTTGTGCATGACACAAGTAATTTTTCCAACAATTGTTTACAGACAGATTATTTCACTTATAATTCACTGTATCACAATTCCAGTGGGTCAGAAGTTTACATACACTAAGTTGACTGTGCCTTTAAACAGCTTGGAAAATTCCAGAAAATGATGTTTTAGAAGCTTCTGATAGGCTAATTGACATCATTTGAGTCAATTGGAGGTGTACCTGTGGATGTATTTCAAGGCCTACCTTCAAACTCAGTGCCTCTTTGCTTGACATCATGGGGAAATCAAAATAAATCAGCCAAGACCTCAGGGAAAAAATGTGTAGACCTCCACAAGTCTGGTTCATCCTTGGGAGCAATTTCCAAACGCCTGAAGGTACCACGTTCACTTGTACAAACAATAGTACGCAAGTATAAACACCATGGGACCACGCAGCCGTCATACCGCTCAGGAAGGAGACGCGTTCTGTCTCCTAGAGATGAACGTACTTTGGTGCGAAAAGTGCAAATCAATCCCAGAACAACAGTAAAGGACCTTGTGAAGATGCCGGAGGAAACAGGTGGCGGCAGGTAGGTTAGTGGTTAAGAGCGTTGTGCCGGTAACCGAAAGGTCGCTGGTTCTAATCCCCGAGCCGACTAGGTGAAAAATCTGTCGATATGCCGTTGAGCAAGGCACTTAACCCTAATTGCTCCTGTAAGTCACTCTGGATCAGAGCGATGACTAAAATGTGTATGACTAAAATGTAAACAGGTACAAAAGTATTTATATCCACAGTAAAACGAGTTCTATATCGACATAACATGAAAGGCCGCTCAGCAAGGAAGAAGCCACTGCTCCAAAACCGCCATAAAAAAGCCAGACTACGGTTTGCAACTGCACATGGGGACAAAGATTGTACTTTTTGGCCATAATGACCATTGTTATGTTTGGAGGAAAAAGTGGGGACTTGCAAGCCGAAGAACACCATCCCAACCGTGAAGCACGGAGGTGGCAGCATCATGCTGTGGGGGTGCTTTGCTGCTGGAGGGACTGGTGTACTTCATAAAATAAATGGCATCATGAGGAAGGAAAATTATGTGGATATATGAAGCAAATCTCAGACATCATTCAGGATTAAAAAGCTGGGTCGCAAATAGGTCTTCCAGGAGGACAATGACCCCAAGATATCCGTGATGTAGGACAATCACTGTCTTCGGCTATTCAGGCTTGTCAAATGGAGGTGAAGGATCCGTCAGGCAACTTCTAAGTACAATCAAGAAGTCTCTTTAGTACACTGGATCCAGGAACACAGAGCATGGCTAGAACATGTTCAAAGACCAGGCAACAAGTCACACTTTTATATTTTATACTAAGTTGATGGGTTATATTTAGGATAATGTTTTAAAGCTTTGCCATTCTATTATGTTTGTTCAAATCGTCTTAATGTATTATTTTATCTCCTTGACATATTATGAAAATTCCATAAAATCCTGAAAGTTTCCATAATTCCGGAAGTTTCCTGGTAAGCTTAGAAAGTTACTGGTAATATACCGTACCTTTGCAACCCTAACTATGACTAACATTATTGGTAACACTCAGTGTCTGATACACTCCCCTATTGACGTCCATTCTTGCAAAGTTCTAGTACATTCTTGTTCTGGAACATTCTGACCAACATGTTTACAAGTCCAAACATAATCATCATCATGACACCAACATTATATTTGTATTAAGATTATCTTACTCCTCATGAGTAGGCTCTCTTCCTTATATCACAATAGACTCACACAAGCAGGGCCGAGATGCCAAGCAGGCTCTCTCCCCCTGCCAGAAACTTCTGCTTAGGTCATGCTGACCCAGGCTCACAGGCTTGAGTATAATAACAGGATATACACTGAGTGTACAAAACATTAAGAGCACCTTCCTAATATTGAGTTGAGCCTCAATTTGTCAGGACATGGACTCTACAAGGTGTCAAAAGCGTTCCACTGGAATGCTGGCCCATGTTGACTCTAATGCATCCCACAGTTGTGTCAAGTTGGTTGGATGTCCTTTGGATGGTGGACCATTCTTGATACACATGGGAAACTGTTGAGCGTGAAAACCCAGCTACATAGCAGTTCTTGACACAATCAACCTGGTGCGCCTACCATACCCCATTCAAAGGCACTTCAATCTTAAAGGCTTAAAAATCCTTCTTTAACCAGTCTCCTCCCCTTCAACAGGTGACATCAGTAAGGGATAATAGCTTTCACCTGGTCAGTCTATGTCATGGAAAGAGCAGGTATTCCTAATGTTTTGTTTGTTCACAATGCAATCCCTATAAATAACAAAGTACACTTTCATCTGCACTGTTTCCATCAGTTAGAGTAAGACATACAGTTGAAGCCGAAAGTTTACAACCACTCCACACATTTCTTGTTAACAAACTATCGTTTTGGCAAGTCGGTTAGGACATCTACTTTGTGCATGACACAAGTAATTTTTCCAACAATTGTTTACAGACAGATTATTTCACTTATAATTCACTGTATCACAATTCCAGTGGGTCAAAAATTTACATACACTAAGTTGACTGTGCCTTTAAACAGCTTGGAAAATTCCAGAAAATGATGTCATGGTTTTAGAAGCTTCTGATAGGCTAATTGACATAATTTGAGTCAATTGGAGGTGTACCTGTGGATGTATTTCAAGGCCTACCTTCAAACTCAGTGCCTCTTTGCTTGACATCATGGGGAAAGCAAATAAATCAGCCAAGACCTCAGGAAAAAAAATGTGTAGACCTCCACAAGTCTGGTTCATCCTTGGGAGCAATTTCCAAACGCCTGAAGGTACCACGTTTACTTGTACAAACAATAGTACGCAAGTATAAACACCATGGGACCACGCAGCCGTCATACCGCTCAGGAAGGAGACGCGTTCTGTCTCCTAGAGATGAACGTACTTTGGTGCAAAAAGTGAAAATCAATCCCAGAACAACAGTAAAATACCTTGTGAAGATGCTGGAGGAAACAGGTACCAAAGTCTCTATATCACAGTTTAAAAAGAGTCTTATGACATAACTGAAAGGCCGTCACCAAGGAAGACCACTGCTCCAAAACCGCCATAATGACTACGGTTTTGCAACTGCACATGGGGACAAAGATCTTACTTTTGGAAGAATGTCCTCTGGTCTGATGAAACAAAAATAGAAACCATGTTATGTTTGGAGGAAAAAGTGGGGGACTTGCAAGCCGAAGAACACCCATCCCAACCGTGAAGCACGGAGGTGGCAGCATCATGCTGTGGGGGGGCTTTGCTGCTGGAGGGACTGGTGTACTTCATAAAATAAATGGCATCATGAGGAAGGAAAATTATGTGGATATATTGAAGCAACATCTCAAGACATCAGTCAGGAAGTTAAAGCTGGGTCGCAAATAGGTCTTCCAAATGGACAATGACCCCAAGCATACTTCCAAAGTTGTGGCAAAATGGCTTAAGGACAACAAAGTCAAGGTATTGGAGTGGCCATCACAAAGCCCTGACCTAAATCCTATAGAACATTTGTGGGCAGAACTGAAAAAGCATGTGCGAGCAAGGAGGCCTACATACCTGACTCTGTTACACCAGCTCTGTCAGGAGGAATGGGCCAAAATGTATTGTGGGAAGCTTGTGGAAGGCTACCCGAAACATTTGACCCAAGTTAAACAATTTAAAGGCAATGCTACCAAATACTAATTGAGTGTATGTAAACTTCTGACCCACTGGGAATGTGATGAAATAAATAAAAGCTGAAATAAATAATTCTCTCTACTATTATTCTGACATTTCACATTCTTAAAATAAAGTGACCTAAGACAGGGAATTTTTACTAGGATTAAATGTCAGGAATTGTGAAAAACTGAGTTTAAATGTATTTGGCTAAGTTGTATGTAAACTTCCGACTTCAACTGTATCACCATAAACAAAGACAAGGTTTGAGCTTGATAAATGTCCTAGTTGTCAATGGACTGAGAAACTGGTTGTGGGTTCAATTCCCACGGGGGACCATTCCGAACAAAAAAATATGAAAATGTGTGCACTCGCCACTGTAAGTCACTCTGGATAAGAGTGTCTGCTAAATGACTAAAATGTTATAAACATATATTCCCAGTGAATCTAGGTGCTCACTAGATGCAGTGATTTCTCTCTCTCTGACCAGGCATTGCACTCTCTCTGGTACCTTGCCGAAACTGCCTTTGCCCAGCATCTTGTGAAGGATGAAGTTGTCGAGGGTGAACTTGTGATGGTGTTCTTTTCTGGGGACGGCGTACAGCTCCTCCTTCACAGGGGCAGGCACGTCCCCCTCCGCTGGGGTGTCCCACGATACACCCTGCTGCTCTGGAGAGGGAAGGAAGAGGTGGAGAAGGGGCAGAGAAGGGAAGAGAGAGTGGGAGAGGAGGAAGAGAAGGGAAGAGAGAGTGGGAGAGGAGGAAGAGAAGGGAAGAGAGAGGGAGAGGAGGAAGAGAAGGGAAGAGAGAGTGGGAGAGGAGGAAGAGAAGGGAAGAGAGAGTGGAGAGGAGAAGACGAAGGGAAGAGAGAGTGGGAGAGGAGGAAGAGAAGGGAAGAGAGAGTGGGAGAGGAGGAAGAGAAGGGAAGAGAGAGTGGGAGAGGAGGAAGAGAAGGGGAAATTGTTATTTAGTCCTATTAAGTCTCACGTTGACTACAAAGTCCTCACAGTTGCATGATTGACCAGGTTGACCATGTGTGGTCTCCTTACCTTTTCGCCCAGCGGTGGCTGCGGTCGGGGGGAGACCTGCCACTAAACCTGAAGGTTCCCGCACCACCCCTGCCTGGCCCACACCCACTGGCCCGCCTCGACTACGGATCTCACTCTCTCTGGAGCCCCTGGCCTATAGGAAAATGCATAGACACATATAACAATTAATAACATGACTCAATCCTATCTGTATAACGGGCAGGGATAGATTCCTTACTAACAATCAACATAACTTTATTTTTTATTTCATGAAAAGCATTTTGGAGCTATTGTGGATCTGTCGGACAGCACAGACTTCCTAACCCCTCAACCCCTGAACTCTGACCTGCTGTTTAGTCTCGATCATGGCCAGGGCTTCAGCCATACGTTTCTGGTTGACTCCACACAGGTTGGCCACCTTTTTCTGGCACTTGTGATGGATGTTCATACCACACTCTGAATGGACAACACAAATGGTTATACAGTATACACACACAGATGTAATGGGGTGATGAAATCAATATATTTGGATATTTGGGCTCCTGTAATGGTGAAATAGGGAATTATGTGAAAAGGTATAAGTGACACTGCAATAATGGTGCAATATAATGATTTGATATGGTACTGTTATGATTTGAGTTGGTAATGGTATGACGTGATTGTGTAATGATAGTGATGTGATGTTATGATGTGATCAGGGTCTCTTCCACAGGAGGTTGGTGGCACCTTAATTGGGGAGGATGGGCTTGTGGTAATGGATGGAGTGGAATTAGTGGAACGGTATCAAATACATCAAACACATGGTTTCAATGTGTTTGATGCCTTTCCATTTGCTCCGTTCCAGCCTTTATTATGAGCCGTTCTCCCCTCAGCAGCCTCCTGTGGACTCTCCTCTCACCTTCACACTTGAGTCCCTGCTTGGCCAGCCCCCACAGCAGTGTGCCACAGTGTTCACAGAACGTGGGGCTCTTGTAGTTGTACACCTTAAACCTGTGGGGCATGTCGATCTTAAAGCGCTCCTTGTGGATCTGCAACACACAGCAAACACACTCTGTCACCTGAACACACCGTACTACAACCCTTTGTTGCCATGGAAATATGACACAGGAAGTAGGCAACAATTTTTAGGGAAGTAAAGTCTCTGGGATAAAAATGCTATTTTTTCTCTGTCTAGGATCGATGAGTACTGGTAGACAGTGAGTACAGTAGCCACAGAGCTGTCTGCTTCGAATAACCAACCTATTGTCTCAGTGTGTGCTGTGAGAGAGAGTTAGTGAGAGTCAGTGTGTATGCGGTTGACTTTAACCAACAATAAACTAGCGTGTTACCTCTGACCTAAACCACAGTCACCAGAAGCCCAGACAGTCACCAGACTGTCTGCATGCAATCTAAGGGGACCTCCAGTTGGTTGTTTTAATTGAGGTTCCTCATGTCACAAACACCAAGACAAAGTGAACACATCACAGTTTACTGCCACTATTATTGGAGCCCTAGCAACTAAATATAATGACAAATCCAAGATGCTCTAAAATGCTCAAGACCACTTATTGTCATTGTTGTATAGAAATGGACTACAATGTACAGGCCTACCATGGTCTCTTTGCTGTTGATGGCCGACCCAGTGCACTTGGCGATGATTTTGTCAATGCATTTCTTGTGGATGGCTGCGTTGCACTCTGAAAGACCAAGGATGGGGATGAGAGTGTAGACAGGAGAGAGGACGGAGGAGAGTAGGGATAGAATATGGAGTAGGTAGAAGATGAGGAGAGAGAGACAGCAGAGAGAAGAGAGAGCAGTGATACTCACGTCGACACTGGTAACCCTGCTTATTCAGACCCCTGTGGGGAAAAGAAACACAACATGAACAGGAACAGGAAGCAGGAAACAAACACTGGATAATATGGATGATGTACAAACAGAAATGCTGTAGTGTTTGTTTCAGCGGGACAATAACAAAAATAGAGAGGGTCTATGTGAATGATGTCATTAGGATACAGTATTTGCACTCCAATTGACTAGGTTTTAAATAAAGTTAGGATATGATATACATACTGTAAAGACAGAAGGGTTACTTATAGAGCATGTACACTGAGTATACAAAACATTAAGAGCACCTGCTCTTTCCATGATACACTATATATACAAAAGTATGTGGACACCCCTTCAAATTAGTGGATTCTGCTATTTCAGCCACACCCGTTGCTGACAGGTGTATAAAATCGAGCACACAGCCATGCAATCTCTATAGAGAAACATTGGCAGTAGAATGGCCTTACTGAAGAGGCCAGTGACTTTTAACGTGGCACTGTCATAGGATGCCACCTTTCAAACAAGTCAGTTCTTCAAATTTAAGCAACAACGGCTCAGCCGCGAAGTGGTAGGCCATACAGCTCACAGAACGGGACCTCCGAGTGCTGAAGCGCGTAGTGAGTAAAAATCGTCTGTCCTCGGTTGCAACACTCACTATTGAGTTCCAAACTGCCTCTGGAAGCAATGTCAGCACAAGAACTGTTCGTCGGGAGCTTCATTAAATGGGTTTCCATGGCTGAGCAGCCGAACACAAGCCTAAGATCACCATGCGCAATGCCAAACGTCGGCTGGAGTGGTGTAAAGCTTGCCGCCATTGAACTCTGGAGCAGTGGAAAAGCGGTATCTGGAAAGATGAATCACGCTTCACCACCTGGCAGTCCGATGTACAAATCTGGGTTTGGCGGCTGCCAGGAGAACACTACCTGCCCCAATGCATAGTGCCAACAGTAAAGATTGGTGGAGGAGGAATAATGGTCTGGGGCTGTTTTTCATGGTTCGGGCTAGGCCCCTTAGTTCCAGTGAAGGGAAATCTTAAAGCTACAGCATACAATGATATTCTAGACGATTATGTGCTTCACCAGTTTGTGTCAAGAACTGCAACACTACTAGGTTTTTCACGCTCAACAGTTTCCAATGTGTATCAAGAAGGGTCCACCACCCAAAGGGCATCCAGACAACCTGACACAACTGCATTGGAGTCAACATAGGCCAGCATCTGTGTGGAACGCTTTCGACACCTTGAAGAGTCCAATGCCCCGACGAATTGAGGCTGTTCTGAGGGGAAAAGGGGGTGCAACTCAATATTAGGAAGGTGTTCCTAATGTTTGGTATACTCAGTGCTTTGGCTCAGTAGACGTACCAGACAAACTCTTTACAGACGGAGCAGAAGGTGGGCTGGGGGAAGAACGTGGCGCTGAACTCGTGACATTTGACCTCATGGATCTTAGCCTGCTTGATGGCTCCGCGTCGTGCGTGGAGGGCAAAGAGTCCCGGGTCCCTGTCTCTCTCTCCAAATCCATCTCCCTCACCTGAACATGGGGCGTCTGGGAAACAGGCACACACACACACACACACACACACACACACACCAAAGTGATGTACAGTGCATAGTCTTGTCACAGTTAAAAGACAGAGGAAGAGAAAGAGAGACATGGGTGACATATTTGCCGGCTCATCTGTGAACGCATGATAGGAATGTCCTTCTGCCAGTCTGTGTGCGTGCGAGTGAGTGACTGTGTGTGTGTTTGTGTGTGTGTGTGTGTGTGTGTGTGTGTGTGTTTGGGAGCGAGGAAGAGGGCCTTTGGCTGACTTCCTGTCCTACAGTCCCACAAGCATTTATTCACTAGAAAACTGACAGCTGCAAATTTAACACACCCTCCATGATCGACGAGAGTCTGTCAAAGTGTGTGTGTGTATGTGTGCATGCATGTGTGTATGCACACAGGGTAAAGGTGAATATCTTTCTATTTGTGAGTCATGTAAATTATCAGATGATTAGTACTGAACAATCATCGAACCACCTGTTGTGAGTGCTGATTATGAGTAGTTGTGTAGACTTTATATATAGACAGACATATGAGAGGTTTCCTCACGCCTGTTATATAATGGCTTTATAAGCCTTCAGAGTGTGTTGATAAGACCGCAACAAGAGAGGGCACTGACAGAAACTATTAGGAATAGATGGGGTTCTGGAATGGTTATAACCACACATAACCACACAGGAACAAACATACACAGATATTACGAAGTCTACAATGGTTCTGAACCCTCACCACTCTTCTCCAAGTAGTATCTGGCCTCCATCAGTAGACGACCCTGTGGCTTCAGCTCCACCTGAGAGAGAGAGATATATATATATATATATATATATAGAGAGAGAGAGAGAGAGAGAGAGAGAGAGAGAGAGAGAGAGAGAGAGAGAGAGAGAGAGAGAGAGAGAGAGAGAGAGAGAGAGAGAGAGAGAGAGAGAGAGAGAGAGAGAGAGAGAGAGAGAGAGAGACAGAGACAGAGACAGAGACAGAGACAGAGACAGATATATCCCCATATCAAATTGTGTGGACATGACATATTCCTCTCACTCCAACCCTAAGCCAATGGATCCCTCCCTCCCTGTTGTCTTACCCAAATCTCCAGCTTTCCGTTCTCCTTTTTGCAGCGGGAAGCCAGGGAGTCCAGCTGCACCGTGGCCTCAGACTTTAGCTCAGCGGTTTTATCCTTCACCACCACGTGCATGACACGGCCCAGGTGGACATGGGCATCAAACGTGCTGCTCCAGGGGGGGTACATGGTGGGCTTCTTCTGCTTGTACACCTGGCCCTTCTCTGGAGGTGTGTGTGTGTGTGTGTGTGTGTGTGTGTGTGTGTGTGTGTGTGTGTGTGTGTGTGTGTGTGCATGTAAGGGGGAGAAAGACAGACATTAACAGACAAGAATTTTAACATTAGTCGATCTGTCATTGGTCCTACATTTTTCCTGACATGTGACCTGACCAGGAGCAAAGAGTGGTCTGTCTCTACCACAGGAGGTTGGTGGCATCTTAATTGGGGAGGACAGGCTCGTGGTAATGGCTGGTTTCCATATGTTGGATGCCATTCCAATGGCTCCGTTCCAGACATTATTATGAGTCGTCCTCCCCTCAGCAGCCTACTGTGGTGTACTGTATACCTACAGTTTAACTTTCACTTCACAGTATTTTCCTTCTGCCATTTGACAAGCATTCCATTCCAGAAATGTATGTTCCTGCCATAGAATGACAATTATATTTCTATGGTTCTATCTCTATCACTGGCCCATAGACTGTCTATTCTGGACAGAGACAACGCTACCAGCTGTTGTCTATACTGAAAATAATTTCCCTCTGACAGGGAAAAACTGTCTAATTCTCCCCAGACAGACGGTTCATATTTTTCATCATGTTTCCAATCCGCCTTTGGCATGAGAGGGCAATATGTTTTGCTGTAGAAGTCCCACACAGCTCTGAGTAGGCTTTTGTCAGCCCACAATGACATACTTTTTCTTTGTTCTCTGTAGTGGTTAAGTGACATTTGGCTGAGGTGTTGCTTTCACATTTCTGTTAGGTGCTTAAGCCACAGTGGAGTTAAGAAACGTGTCTGAGCCAGTCACAGCTTTGTAGTAAGGATTCCCCTATACTACAACTCTGACTCCAGACCCAAAACACTCCTCCTCAGTAAGGTGTTCAGTTCAATTTCAAATTGGTCTTAGTAATGATTTCCAATTGCTCTATTGGCACAACTGAATGCAGTCAGTTTGCAGCTGCTTGTAGGCTAGCTAGACCAACAGCGGAATATTGGTGCTAAACCTCACACTGCACTACTATTTACTATCATCTGGGCCTTTTGATGCCATTGCAAAAAGCAGGACAGACCTGAACTGAATTGAAACTGAATGACACAGGTCTTCCTGTGAATACACCCACGCACATCCCGCACACACACATGCAGACACACGCAAATGCGGACACACACACACACAGTGTTTCTCTACTACTCGATCTCCGTCCAACTACCAGAACAGCTCTGTGGTTAAAGTGAGAAAGAAGTAGGAAAAACAACCTAGATCCATCCTCTTTCCTCCCCACGTCTCTCTCTGTTTTTAGCCCTATAACTGTCATCTTTACCAACGGTTAAATATAGTCAGCAAGGAAACAAAACTGTCCATTAGCACTCTGAAGTACTGCTAATTAGAGATAATACTGATATGAATCATAAGCCCATTTACACTAATGGAACCCCTGGAGAAGAAAAGCCTTTTCTATTGAATGTCTATAAATGTCTTTCTATAAATACAGTGGGGGAAAAAAGTATTTAGTCAGCCACCAATTGTGCAAGTTCTCCCACTTAAAAAATGAGAGAGGCCTGTAATTTTCATCATAGATACACGTCAACTATGACGGACAAAATGAGGAATAAAAATCCAGAAAATCACATTGTAGGATTTTTTATGAATTTATTTGCAAATTATGGTGGAAAATAAGTATTTGGTCAATAACAAAAGTTTCTCAATACTTTGTTATATACCCTTTGTTGGCAATGACACAGGTCAAACGTTTTCTGTAAGTCTTCACAAGGTTTTCACACACTGTTGCTGGTATTTTGGCCCATTCCTCCATGCAGATCTCCTCTAGAGCAGTGATGTTTTGGGGCTGTCGCTGGGCAACACGGACTTTCAACTCCCTCCAAAGATTTTCTATGGGGTTGAGATCTGGAGACTGGCTAGGCCACTCCAGGACCTTGAAATGCTTCTTACGAAGCCACTCCTTCGTTGCCCGGGCGGTGTGTTTGGGATCATTGTCATGCTGAAAGACCCAGACACATTTCATATTCAATGCCCTTGCTGATGGAAGGAGGTTTTCACTCAAAATCTCACGATACATGGCCCTATTCATTCTTTCCTTTACACGGATCAGTCGTCCTGGTCTCTTTGCAGAAAAACAGCCCCAAAGCATGATGTTTCCACCCCCATGCTTCATAGTAGGTATGGTGTTCTTTGGATGCAACTCAGCATTCTTTGTCCTCCAAATACGACGAGTTGAGTTTTTACCAAAAAGTTATATTTTGGTTTCATCTGACCATATGACATTCTCCCAATCCTCTTCTGGATCATCCAAATGCACTCTAGCAAACTTCAGACGGGCCTGGACATGTACTGGCTTAAGCAGGGGGACACGTCTGGCACTGCAGGATTTGAGTCCCTGGCGGCGTAGTGTGTTACTGATGGTAGGCTTTGTTACTTTGGTCCCAGCTCTCTGCAGGTCATTCACTAGGTCCCCCCGTGTGGTTCTGGGATTTTTGCTCACCGTTCTTGTGATCATGTTGACCCCACGGGGTGAGATCTTGCGTGGAGCCCCAGATCAAGGGAGATTATCAGTGGTCTTGTATGTCGTCCATTTCCTAATAATTGCTCCCACAGATGATTTATTCAAACCAAGCTGCTTACCTATTGCAGATTCAGTCTTCCCAGCCTGGTGCAGGTCTACAATTTTGTTTCTGGTGTCCTTTGACAGCTCTTTGGTCTTGGCCATAGTGGAGTTTGGAGTGTGACTGTTTGAGGTAGTGGACAGGTGTCTTTTATACTGATAACAAGTTCAAACAGGTGCCATTAATACAGGTAACGAGTGGAGGACAGAGGATCCTCTTAAAGAAGAAGTTACAGGTCTGTGAGAGCCAGAAATCTTGCTTGTTTGTAGGTGACCAAATACTTATTTTCCACCATAATTTGCAAATAAATTCATAAAAAATCCTACAATGTAATTTTCTGGATTATTTTTTCTCATTTTGTCTGTCATGGTTGACGTGTACCTTTGATGAAAATTACAGGCCTCTCTCATCTTTTTAAGTGGGAGAACTTGCAGAATTGGTGGCTGACTAAATAATTTTTTCCCCCACTGTATGTCTGCCCTCTTTAATGCATAGACACTGTCGATAGAGTAAACAGTGACACACTCACTGGGCACAACTTCTTTCCTCACTTGCAACCCATGGGACACAACAGTCCTACAGAAAATCATAGAGGTTCCCATGTTTCCCCATCACATCTCTCTGACACACACGCACGCACACACACACACACACACACACACACACACACACACACACACACACACACACACACACACACACACACACACACACACACACACACACACACACACACACACACACACACACACACACACACACACACACACACACACACACACACACACACACACACACACACACACACACACACACACACACACACACACACACACACACACACACACACACACTCAAACTGACCTGTGTCTACAGCTTCCTTCATGTAGACAGCACAGTATGGATTGATCACCTCTTCATGGTAGGCCAGACCTGGGTCCATCTCAAAGCTGGAGAAGCCGATACGCAGGAACGGAGACATGGCTGCAGGTACCACTCACTCACTGACCTCCAGAAAACCTTCAGAGAACCTCTCCTGCCACTGTAACAGTGATCCTCACAGTGAAGAGTTGTGTTTCAGTTAGTTTTTGATGAGGCAAGTCCTTCTCTTCACAGAGAGTGTCAGTGTTGTTTCGGGGAGAGTAGTCTTTGTGTGGATGTCACCCCCCTCTCTGGCACAGGCCCCACGCGCTGACTGGCTTTTTCCTCCAGATGAGAGATGGGTTGGCAAGGGGAGAGAGAGAGAGAGAGAGAGAGAGAGAGAGAGAGAGAGAGAGGAGGTTCTCTTTGGCTCGCAGCGGCAGTTCCGCCCTTGACGCCTCGCTCCTCTGGTACTGATAAGAGATGTCCGTCACCCTAAGAAAGGAAGAGAGAGAGGGAGAGAGAGAGAGAGAGAGAGAGAGAGAGAGGTGGAGAGAGGATGAGGGACAAGTCACAAGTCAGCATTAGTTATACCAATTCTCTAGAATGAATACCACCAGACCAGTACATAATACACCAAACAAATACAAACCAGTACCCCTTGTTTACATTACAAACAAACTAATCAGCCCTCTTAATACCTGAAGCAAAACACCATATATTTAGCACCAAAGACCGAACCAACCAGCACTCTCTGGGTATATAAAACAGTTCATACCTCCAGGGGCTAGTAAACCTCAGCTAGCCTATTTCCACAGGCACTTTGGAGTCCAGTATAATCCCTGAGTATGAACCACTGCACACTCAGGTGCTACCAGCTAGCTCTAAGCTGTGGTGGTCCCAACATCAGTGAGCTGTCTGTGGTTGGCTAAGTAGCAGTGCTGATGGAGGAGAAAGAGACTGAGCGTCAGAGTGATATTTGAGGCCAGGCTGTCAGAGAGCTGTGTGTCAGCCTCAGTGTCAGAGAGGAGACTGGGAAAGCCCTATTAATAGATGAGTATTGCTAAACTCTGATTGGGAATACGCAGGGAAGAACTCCCAGCAGTTACAGCCCAACCCGGGCCTGGGTCACCCACAAACATACCTCCCATAAACCCCCCATACCCACACACGTGCGCGCACACACACACACACACACACACACTGTCACCATAAGTGACTGCTTCCTCCTGATTAGTCTCAAACCGAGGCTCGAACCTAGGACCTCTGCCTTGCTAGCGCACGTGACTACCTTCCTGACTAACCAGTGACGCAAGTGGCGACACCCCAGGCTGAGGAGTAAGTTTCACACATCCCCATGTGCTACTGTACATAAGCAACAACACAACTATTGATATACACACAACAAAGTTCAGTTGTGCTACAGAATAGATACAAAGCTCTTCTGTTCTGGGTAACTACTAGGAATAAATCTATAATACTATACAACAATATAAAGTGCTCAGTCTCAATAATTAACAACTGTTGACACACACACACACACACATATCCATACCTCCCAAACTGTGATTCTGAACCACCAAGCACATTGCAGCTCACTTTAGCACCCACCACCTCTCTGCATGTTACATAGCTCTCTCGTTAACATGATGGGACTTCCTGTAGTCTGACTCGTTAACCACACTTCCTGTTTCTGAGCTGAGTTCTGGGAAGTCACACAGGTGGGTCTCTCTCTCTGACAAACAAGAGAGAGAAAAACACTCAAATGTACCTACCATGTACCAACGTGACTTCAAGTAACACTAGAGAGGCTGCGTGAGAGATTGTTGGATTAGGAAATGTTCAGTCAATATCAAAACATGGAGAGTTCAGCTGCTTTGGTTGTTCTGTAACAGTAAGAGACAGTTACTTGAGGACCACCTCAGGGCATATTGATGTGTAGTTACATCTCCCTCATTAGCCATCATCTCTCTCATTTCTCTGACTCGCTCCCTCCCTCTCTCTCTCTCTCTCTCTCTCTCTCTCTCTCTCTCTCTCACTCTCTCTCTGCCTCCCTCTCTCTCTCTCTCTCTCTCTCTCTCTCTCTCTCTCTCACTCTCTCTCTGCCTCCCTCCCCCTCCCTCTCTCTCTCTCTCTCTCTCTCACTCTCTCTGCCTCCCTCCCTCTCCCTCTCTCTCTCTCTCTCGCTCTCTGTCTCGCTCTCTCTCTCTTTCTCTCTCTCTCGCTCTCTCTCGCTATCTCTCTCGCTCTCTCTCTCTCTTGCTCTCTCTCGCTCTCTCAATTAATTTCAATTCGAGGGGCTTTATTGGCATGGGAAACATGTTTACATTGCCAAAGCAAGTGAAATGGATAAACAAAAGTGAAATAAACAATAAAAAGTGAACGGTAAATATTACACTCACAAGTTCCAAAATAATCTCTCTCTCTCTCTGTCTCTCTATCTCTCTCTCTCTCTCTCCCTTTCTCTCTCTACTGTGTTGTAAGTGGCCCTAATTCCCATGTATTTATGTTGAAACAACAACAGTGGTCATTGTTACAATCAGAGGTTCTTATATCAGATTAGCAACCCCAGTATTTCTGTTGTAAACCCAGCCACTTCATGTCCTGTATAGTCAAAGTGTTGGTTATGATGATCTGTTGTCACCGTAAGGGGCATAGAGGTTTAACACAAGATTAACTCTTTCAATACTGTTTCACTCAATTACTCAACTTACTGTAGTGTTTGTGTGTGTACGCATGTGTCTCCCCACAAGCCCTCATGAAAGGCTAGTGATCTCTTTCATCCTGACCTCCCCACTTCAAACAACCACACACACGCACATGCACACGCACACACACACACACACACACACACACACACACACACACACACACACACACACACAGAGAGAGACTGAAGGTCAAGCACAATGACCATCACCATATAAACAACCTTTTCCTCAGTGTGACCTTTAGTGGACCTTTCATGAGGGTCAAAGTCAAAGAGCCTCCCATCAAACCTTCTTCTGTATGCTACACCATCAGAGAGGAGTGTGTGTGTGTGTGTATGTGTGTGTATGTGTGTGTGTGTGTGTGTGTGTGTGTGTGTGTGTGTGTGTGTGTGTGTGTGTGTGTGTGTGTGTGTGTGTGTGTGTGTGTGTGTGTGTGTGTGTGTGTGTGTGTGCACTGCTAAAGCTAACTCTCTCTCCTCTGCTCTTGTCCTTCTAGACCTGTCTGCTGCCTTTGATACTGTGAACCATCAGATCCTCCTCTCCACCCTCTCCGAGATGGGCATCTCCGGCGCGGCTCACTCCTGGATTGCGTCCTACCTGACCGGTCGCTCCTACCAAGTGGCGTGGCGGGAAGCTGTCTCCGCACCACGTGCTCTCACCACTGGTGTCCCCCAGGGATCGGTTCTGGGCCCTCTCCTTTTCTCCCTATACACCAAGTCACTTGGCTCTGTCATATCCTCACATGGTCTCTCCTATCATTGCTACGCTGACGATACACAACTAATCTTCTCCTTTCCCCCTTCTGATAACCAGGTGGCGAATCGCATCTCTGCATGTCTGGCAGACATATCAGTATGGATGACGGATCACCACCTCAAGCTGAACCCTGGCAAGACGGAGCTGCTCTTCCTCCCGGGGAAGGACTGCCCGTTCCATGATCTCGCCATCACGGTTGACAACTCCGCTGTGTCCTCCTCCCAGAGTGCGAAGAGCCTAGGCGTGACCCTGGACAACACCCTGTCGTTCTCCGCCAACATCAAGGCGGTGACCCGCTCCTGCAGGTTCATGCTCTACAACATTCGGAGAGTGCGACCCTGCCTTATACAGGAAGCGGCGCAGGTCCTGGTCCAGGCACTTGTCATCTCCCGTCTGGACTACTGCAACTCGCTGTTGGCTGGGCTCCCTGCCTGTGCCATTAAACCCCTACAACTCATCCAGAATGCCGCAGCCCGTCTGGTGTTCAACCTTCCCAAGTTCTCTCACGTCACCCCCCTCCTCCGCACACTCCACTGGCTTCCAGTTGAAGCTCGCATCCGCTACAAGACCATGGTGCTTGCCTATGGAGCAGTGAGGGGAACGGCACCTCTGTACCTTCAGGCTCTGATCAGTCCCTACACCCAAACGAGGACATTGCGTTCATCCACCTCTGGCCTGCTGGCTCCCCTTCCTCTGCGGAAGCACAGCTCCCGCTCAGCCCAGTCAAAACTGTTCGCTGCTCTGGCACCCCAATGGTGGAACAAGCTCCCTCACGACGCCAGGACAGCGGAGTCACTCACCACCTTCCGGAGACATTTGAAACCCCACCTCTTTAAGGAATACCTGGGATAGGATAAAGTATTCCTTCTAACCCCCCCCCCCCCCCCCCCCAAATTGTAAAGTGGTTATCCCACTGGCTATAGGGTGAACGCACCAATTTGTGAGTCGCTCTGGCTAAGAGCGTCTGCTAAATGACGTTAATGTGCCCTTGAGCAAGGCACTTAACCCTAATTACTCCTGTAAGTCGCTCTGGTTAAGAGCGTCTGCTAAATGACTAAAATGTAAATGTAAATGTAAATGTGTGTGTGTGTGTGTGTGTGTGTATGCAGCCAGGTAACCCATGATATAAGGGTTATATCAGCTGTTTTTCTAACCTCATCCGAGGCATTAACGTTAGGTGGTTGGTAGCTGCTGTACTTAATTACAGCTACTGATAACAGTCTGCTGTAGTTTACAACAATTCTAATGTCTAAAGTGGAAGTTGGGAGAGTTTTACTCGGGTGGTTCAGTGAAACAATTATAGTTTCTGAGGTGGAAGTTGGGAGAGTTATATATATATTTTTTTTTTTGGTGAGGGAGGCCTGCTCTCTCCTTTCCCTGATGTTTAGTTCATTTCATCCCGATCTCCTCTGCATTATTGTAGCCATCTGCTGCAGCCTGTCAACTATGCCTCTGCCTATCCCTGTTCTCTCCTCTCCGCACAGGCTACACAAACGCCTCACACCGCGTGGCTGCTGCCTCTCTAACCTGGTGGTCCCTGCACGCACCACACACCCGCCAACAAGGCTGACTTCATCCCAGCCTATGCCACCCTCCAGTCCCTCGACTTCCTGGCACTGACGGAAACATGGATTACCACTGAAAACACTGCTACTCCTACTGCTCTCTCCTCGTCTGACCATGTGTTCTCGCATACCCCGAGAGCATCTGGTCAGAGGGGTGGTGGCACAGGAATCCTCATCTCTCCCAAGTGGTCATTCTCAATTTTTCCCCTAACCCATCTGTCTATCTCCTCATTTGAATTCCACGCTGTCACAGTCACTAGCCCATTTAAGCTTAATATCCTTGTCATCTATCGCCCTCCAGGTTCCCTTGGAGAGTTCATCAATGAGCTTGACGCCTTGATAAGTTCCTTTCCTGAGGATGGCTCACCCTTCACAGTCTTGGGGGATTTCAACCTCCCCACGTCTACATTTGACTCATTTCTCTCTGCCTCCTTCTTTCCACTCCTCTCCTCTTTTGACCTCACCCTCTCACCATCCCCCCCCCCACTCACAAGGCAGGCAATACGCTTGACTTCATCTTTACTAGATGTTGCTCTTCTACTAATCTCACTGCAACTCCCCTCCATGTCTCCGACCACTACTTTGTATCCTTTTCTCTCTCGCTCTCCTCCAACACTACTCACTCTGCCCCTACACAGATGGTAACGCGCCGCCGCAACCTTCGCTCTCTCTCTCCCACTACTCTCTCCTCTTCCATCCTATCATCTCTTCCTTCTGCTCAATCCTTCTCCCTCCAATCTCCTGATTCTGCCTCCTCAACCCTCCTCTCCTCCCTTTCTGCATCCTTTGACTCCCTGTGTCCCCTATCCTCCCGGCCGGCTCGGTCCTCCCCTCCAGCTCTGTGGCTTGATGACTCATTGCGAGCTCACAGAACAGAGCTCCGGGCAGCTGAGGGGAAATGGAAGAAAACTAAACTCCCTGCCGACCTGGCATCTTTTCACTCCCTCCTCTCTACATTTTCTTCATCTGTTTCTGCTGCTAAGGCCACTTTCTACCACTCTAAATTCCAAGCATCTGCCTCTAACCCTAGGAAGCTCTTTGCCACATTCTCCTCACTGCTGAATCCTCCCAACCCCCCCCCCCCCCCCCCCCTCCTCCCTCTCTGTGGATGACTTTGTCAACCACTTTGAAAAGAAGGTTGACGACATCCGATCCTCGTTTGTTAAGTCTAATGACACTGCTGGTCCTGCTCACACTGCCCTACCCTATGCTTTGACTTCTTTCTCCCCTCTCTCTCCAGATAAAATCTTGCGACTAGTGACTGCAGGCCGCCCAACAACCTGCCCGCTTGACCCCATCCCCTCCTCTCTTCTCCAGACCATCTCCGGTGACCTTCTCCCCTACCTCACCTCGCTGATCAACTCATCCTTGACCGCTGGCCATGTCCCTTCCGTCTTCAAGAGAGCGAGAGTTGCACCCCTTCTCAAAAAACCAACACTCGATCCCACTGATGTCAACAACTACAGACCAGTATCCCTTCTTTCTTTTCTTTCCAAAACTATTGAGCGTGCCGTCTTTAGCCAACTCTCTTGCTATCTCTCTCAGAATGACCTTCTTGATCCAAACCAGTCAGGTTTCAGGACTGGTCATTCAACTGAGACTGCTCTTCTCTGTGTCACGGAGGCTCTCCGCACTGCTAAAGCTAACTCTCTCTCCTCTGCTCTTGTCCTTCTAGACCTGTCTGCTGCCTTTGATACAGTGAACCATCAGATCCTCCTCTCCACCCTCTCCGAGCTGGGCATCTCCGGCGCGGCTCACTCCTGGATTGCGTCCTACCTGACCGGTCGCTCCTACCAAGTGGCGTGGCGAGAAGCTGTCTCCGCACCACGTGCTCTCACCACTGGTGTCCCCCAGGGCTCAGTTCTAGGCCCTCTCCTTTTCTCCCTATACACCAAGTCACTTGGCTCTGTCATATCCTCACATGGCCTCTCCTATCATTGCTACGCTGACGATACACAACTAATCTTCTCCTTTCCCCCTTCTGATAACCAGGTGGCGAATCGCATCTCTGCATGTCTGGCCGACATATCAGTATGGGTGACGGATCACCACCTCAAGCTGAACCCTGGCAAGACGGAGCTGCTCTTCCTCCTGGGGAAGGACTGCCCGTTCCATGATCTCGCCATCACGGTTGACAACTCCGTTGTGTCCTCCTCCCAGAGTGCGAAGAGCCTTGGCGTGACCCTGGACAACACCCTGTCGTTCTCCGCCAACATCAAGGCGGTGACCCGATCCTGCAGGTTCATGCTCTACAACATTCGGAGAGTACGACCCTGCCTTACACAGGAAGCGGCACAGGTCCTAATCCAGGCACTTGTCATCTCCCGTCTGGATTACTGCAACTCGCTGTTGGCTGGGCTCCCTGCCTGTGCCATTAAACCCCTACAACTCATCCAGAATGCCGCAGCCCGTCTGGTGTTCAACCTTCCCAAGTTCTCTCACGTCACCCCCCTCCTCTGCACACTCCACTGGCTTCCAGTTGAAGCTCGCATCCGTTACAAGACCATGGTGCTTGCCTATGGAGCAGTGAGGGGAACGGCACCTCCGTACCTTCAGGCTCTGATCAGTCCCTACACCCAGGCGAGGGCATTGCGTTCATCCACCTCTGGCCTGCTGGCTCCCCTTCCTCTGCGGAAGCATAGTTCCCGCTCAGCCCAGTCAAAGCTGTTCGCTGTTCTGGCACCCCAATGGTGGAACAAGCTCCCTCACGACGCCAGGACAGCGGAGTCACTCACCACCATCCGGAGACATTTGAAACCCCACCTCTTTAAGGAACACCTGGGATAGGATAAAGTAATCCTTCTACCCCCCCCCCCCCCCCCACAAAAAAAAAAAAAAAAAAAGTATAATTGTAAAGTGGTTATCCCACTGGCTATAGGGTGAATGCACCAATTTGTAGTCGCTCTGGATAAGAGCGTCTGCTAAATGACGTAAATGTGCCCTTGAGCAAGGCACTTAACCCTAATTGCTCCTGTAAGTCGCTCTGGATAAGAGCGTCTGCTAAATGACTAAAATGTAAATGTAAATATAAGTCAGTATCCGGGAGATTACATTGAAACTGGCCACTAGGGGCAACAGTGAGCGCTGTTACCTTCAAGTAGCTTTGGGTTTTGCTAGGGTGTTGTGGACAGGGATGGGGGATAGGTGTAAGCATCTGCCTCTGGTGCCAAAGGTTGCATGATTGAATCCAGCATTAGAAAGTTATTTTTGTTTTAAGCCTATTCCAAAACTTAACACTAACCTTAAAAATGTGGCGTTAATGCCTAAACTTAACCTTAAACACTTCGATATTTGATATTGGAAACAACTTCGAAATTTGATGTTTGAGAAACATGGATGAACGTCTAATTCTGATGTGAGACTGTGAGAGCTTGTCGGTGTGTGTGAGTTTGTGTAGTCTTTGAATAACTTCTCTATGTTGTAATTGACAAGGACACATGTGTCTGACATCTGTAGAGGTCCTCAAACATGTGACATGAGTGTTATGAGACCAAAGGGGAAATAAGAGCAAAGTGATTGACCTCTGTTTCCACAAAATCCCTTTGAAAGGAATTACAACAAGGTGCTATCTAGAACCTAAAAGGGTTCTGCGGCTGTCCCCATAGGAAAACCATTTGAAGAACCGTTTTTGGTTCTAGGTAGATCCCGTTTGAGTTCCATGTAGAACCCTTTACACAGAGGCTTCTACATGGAACCCAAAAGAGTTCTACCTGGAACCAAAAGGGGTTCTACCTGGAACCATAAAAAGGTTATGCAATGGGGACAGCCAAAGAACCCTTTTGGAACCTTTTTCTCTAAGAGTGTAGCCTCAACCTATGAGGTGTGCATCATAATTACATTGACTGATCACATCAATGGAGTACAAGTAAAAACAGCGAGAGCTTTGTCCATAGGTACCACTACTTAACTAATTCCTGGCTTACATTTCGGAACATAGTAAGTCTTACAGAACTGAATACATGAAATGCAAAAATTATATCAGCAAATAAGTGTCCATGGTAGGCTACGAATCCTATTACGCCATTCTACTCCACGAATATGCATATTAGGCTACATTGCAGCATATCATTCATATTTCATTCATCTTTCTCTACCATTGACTATAGGCCTACATCTTCTTGAAGTCTCTGGTGTCTTTTCAAAAAAGAAGATTGTATCTCTGACAAGTTGGTGCATGGGTGGGAAGGTTATAAGTGCATACCAATCAGGAATTATATTTGAACGTTTCTTTTAATTTGCAGTAGCCTATATTTCAGACTAATGGAATGATCAAATATCAAAAGAAATCAAAATAAATAGGCATAGCTAGTAATATACTATTTTCTTCTATAACAGACTGGAAATTAGTCTATATGCAAAATATGAATAGGTATAATAGAATAAATGCATGCCTACCTTTAAAAGTCAAACTCCAAACTCCAAAACACAACTTCCTTCATTTAAGGCTAATGTCCATGTTGCTGCTTCAGAGTTTTGTAATAACTGTGTGTAACTAGCCTTGTGGAGGCACCAATGATAGCCTATCAGAATAAGTGCACCTCTATTTTACCACCAGCAGCGCCACCGCAGACATCATGGTAATGCCCCTTTACTATAAATGGGATCAATTAATGAAGGATTCAATGCTGCCCTCCTGTGGAGTGAAGGGGTATTACAGGTGTGCAAAGCACAGGTAGGCTGGAATGGAATTCCGCAATGCGTCTATGGTTGAATATTGCAAATGGACCTAGTCTTTTCAGATTCTGAACGCTCCCCACTCTGGCTTGTCCTATTTACTACCAGTACTTGTAGAAACTATACCACGTCGATCAGTTTATAATTGGATAGGAAAATTGGCGAAACCAGGGGTAGGCTATCACGCCAGGAAAGGGTCAGCAGTAAAGGGTCATTGGAAGATGGACGATAATCCAGTTGTCTCGCAGCTGTTGAGCTGCTCAATTCCCATCCCAGTTGCAATTCTATTAATTCAACTCATATCGTGCATGTCAGCTGCATCCATTAGATGGCGATACTTGACTATGGAGTAAATGGTGTCTCTGGTGAATGCACAGTACATAATCCACAATGCCTAATATCTGGACGCAGATACTTAAACCATGTGGGTGTGGAGTGGGAGTTATGTGGGGGTGTAAATATGCGGTTTTAGATATATTTCAATGGGGTATTTTTCTTTACAAAAACACTTTAAATTAGGCTATTCTACCACTGATAAAAATGACTGTTTGTTGTCTTCCACCCAGTAGGTGCCTGTTAGTCTGGAATCCCAGCGCTTGTGCAATGTGCATCTAATGCCATGCTGGTCATGCAAACCAGTTCTCCCACTCTCTCCAGGCTGCAGCCTCAGCCCAGTCAGTCTCTGAGTCAGGAGATAGGAGATAGGAGAGTCTCTGGCCCCACGTGTAGCTCAGTTGGTAGAGCATGGCGTTTGCCATGCCAGGGTTGTGCGTTCGTTTCCCACGGGGGGGGCAGTATGGTTAATGTATCCACTCACTAACTGTAAGTCCCTCTGGATAAGAGCGTCTGCTAAATGAGAGAAATGAGAGGCTGTGTGACTTCCCTACTACAGCCAATGCCATGCGTAAACACAGTACTGTACTGGCAGTTTCATATCCATTTCTTCTGCTGTTAGTTAGTCATGCTATTGTTATGAAAACCCTTCACAATGTAATTTCCCTTTTTTTTTTAAAGGTACTCTTGTGGTGTAGCATATGGGAAATGTATCTTTCTCTCTCTCTCTCTCTCTCTCTCTCTCTCTCTCTCTCTCTCTCTCTCTGTGATATAATAAGAGATATATTCTTTGGAAAAATAAAAGAGAAGGGTTTTTTTATTAATTCTGCTCTACACTGGTAGTCAATGCCCCTTACTGTTAGACATCATATTAACAGTACACTCTTAGAAAAAAAGTCCTATCTATAACCTAAAAGGGTTTATCAGCTGTCCCCATAGGAGAACCCTTTGAATAACTCTTTTTGGTTCCAGGTATAAGCCTTTTGGGTTTCTTGGACAACCCTTTCTATAGATAGTTCTACATGGAACGCAAAATGGTTCTACCGAGAACCAAACAGGGTTCTACCTGGAGCCAAAAAGGGTTATCCTATGGGGACTGCCCTTTTGGAACCCCTTTTTCTAAGAGTGTAGCCATTTTACAACGTCATCATTTCTTTTTAATTTCTCTTTTCTTTTTTCTTTACTATGACGTAACCTCTTGGAAAAAAACATCTATTCATTATTAAATCCATCCAATAAAATCCAAGAGATTCAGCAATTCAGTAGATTTTGTTCCACTGAAAGAGGAAAGCACATTATTGTTTACATTTGTTATCTCTGTCTTTCTCTCTCCCCCCTCTCTATCTGTCTTTCTCTGCTTTTCTGAAGTAGCCAATAGCTGGGGGAATTTATTTTGCATTGCCAAAAATCCTGTTTGATTGTGACCCAGGTGTGTTAAACCACTAGAACTCTCTACACCATCTAAGTCTTAGTTTCCAGCTAAATTAATCAGCCAGAGCTACATTACACTTAGATTTTGATGGAGTCTTTTAGCTGACAAGATCTGCATAAAACACCTCAATCCTTTTCCTGTTTAATGATCCATTGAATTTCCATGTATTAAGAAATGGTATCTTCATAATCTCTCAGATAAAGCCTCACACCAAACTGCACTTATTAACATTAACCTATAATGGGGCAACTCTTTCATCTGTGCAAATCTCTCTTTGCGTATGTGAATGAATGGGCAAAGAAATTATGCCTAGTGTGTGAGTTAATGCACAGTAGTACGATAGAGCTATATTTATCCACATGAGGAGAGTAAGGATGGGAAGATGGAGGACAGAAAGAGAGAGAGAGAGAGAAAGAGAGAGAGAGAGAGAGAGAGAGAGAGAGAGAGAGAGAGAGAGAGAGAAATAAATAATGTAGGGGAACGTGTGTGATTTCAAAGTGTTGTTCCTTTGTACGGCTCACAGATACGGTACTGAGGGAGCCAGCCTGTACTCTTTTACACACGTTGCCATGGAAACCAGCCCAGCAGCCAACCAGCTGCTGTAAGAATCCAGAGAAATTCCTCCACACGTTCTCCCCCCTACTACCCCACCCCCATGCACACATACTACACACACACACGCCCACGCACGCACGCATGTACACACACACACATACCACCACATACACATATATAGTACACACATAAACATATCCCCCCATCCACAACTTGGGAAACTTACCGGATTTTTGTAACCCTTTCCACAACACATGCATGAAATGACCTGGTTTAATAGTAAGCACTCTATAGTAGAACCCCTGTAAAGCCTGTAGTAACCAGGGGCACTCCTCTAGTAACCAGGGGCACTCCTCTAGTAACCAGGGGCACTCCTCTAGTAACCAGGGGCACTCCTCTAGTAACCAGGGGCACTCCTCTAGTAACCAGGGGCACTCGGCCACACCTCTATCTGAGTTTGTAGTTCAAGGGGATGTGATTGACCTGCTGCTGCTGCCTGCTGTGCTCACATGCACACACACACACTGGCAGGCACGCACACACACACGCACCGACACACACACACACACACACACAATTTAAAAACACTAAAATACTAGTTGGAGAACAGCAAAAATGGCCCCAGCCATTATCACCTTGGCTGCTGTAGCTTCATTCACCTCAGTCCATTAGCCACTACACATTTACTCATTTAATCTATAATTCAATATGTACAGAGGGATCTGTTAGCAAATATATATATTTTTATTAACAAAGGGTAAATAAACACGTTTGCTTTACAAAACTTTTTTGGGTGTGCAGTTTTACAGCATATTTCCTGCAATTTTACCAATTTTGCCGTGCGGTGGGAAGACATTTTATTTTTTTTATAAGCTAATTTCCTGCAATTCTACACATTTTACCATGTTAATATGATATATGAGTGAAAATGACTAACAAAACCAATGGGGCCCCCTGAAGGTCAGGGCCCCTGGGCACATGCGCTGCGTGCTCAGTAATTCGGCCATGATTACTACAAGTTTAGTTAGCTGGCTAGACTAACTACACTAATTTACCAATCTGAACAGTTTTAACTGACATGGGCTAATTGAGTGACTGTCAGTGAGTGGCATATAACAAGAGGAAAACTGCTGATGCACAACCAAATTTCAAAATTGCACCTTGTGTATTCTACTATTCTAACTCTCAACAGTCAGATGAGACCCGACTGAGTTCCCCCCCCAAAAAAATAAATAATAATAATAATACCAGCGAAATACAGACCTACAAAGAGATGCACAGCGAGAACAGAGAGAGATAGACAAGCAAGGAAATGATTCAGCAATTACAGAGAAAACAAACCGCGACCTTTGATTTCAGGGAAACCACTACCATTTAACCATGTTGCCTATGAGCAAAGACATACCAATGTAATACTTTTATTACTGTCATTTTCCACATGGAATGAAAAGTTACACAAGCACGCATGTACGTACG